GAGCGGGTTATTTCTGGGCTAACATTGTCCGCTACGAAATGGGCGAAATCTCTCGATCCTGTTAGTGAAAACGTTGCATTGGAGAAAACAAAGCGAACGTTCATAGGAAAAGAAACCAACATTTGTTTCTGGAGCGCTGGTACAGAAGACGTACCCGTCCGTGGGGCAGGTGGACGATACTCGTTGCAGAATGGTACACTGCTGGAACGCGCTGGTGTTGCTTGGAGCCCGTTTGGGTAACGAAGTCGTTGACAGTAATGGGCAGCACACTGAAATACCGGCTCTCTTTTGAGAAATCCTAGTTTTCATGACATTGCTGATAAAATTCGGGGCTACAACTTGACCCATGGGTCGCATTCAGGTGCTCGCGTGCTTTCTGGATTGTCAGGTATGTGGCCTCGATGCGCTTTTTGTCACTTCAGGTGGAAGCAATTAATCATGACGGTAAAAACGCTTGCACAATAACCCGTTTATATTTCGTTTTCTTCAACTTTCACTTATTCTCCCATCGTATTTTTGCCCCTCTATGTCTACGTGCGCCCCCACAAGATGGGGAGACGTTTATTCCTCCTCCTGGTGGTCAGATCATCATCTGAAACCTAGGTTTAAGCTTGGGTTTGGGCTTAGGCTTGAGCTTAGCTTAGTCCTGAGCTTCCTTCGAGCAGATGAGTATTGTCTCACCAGGAAGGTCTTTCAGGGCGTGACAAGCTTTTTGAAAACGGTCTTTTGCATGATATAGGGGCAGATGCGGGAACCACAGAACCATGTTTAATTTTTCCTGAACGGCCCTCTGAATACCAGAAAAGGGGTCCCTAGTTCGATTCCTCTTGGTGACAAATTTTTGCATTTCGAGTTGACGTTCCAAAATTCGCGCAAAATGGAGTTCTGATTGTTCTGGTTGGTTCTAACTCCATTTTGCGCGAATTTTGGCACGTCAACTCGAAATGCAAAAATTTGTTACCACGAGGAATCGAACTAGGGACCCCTTTTCTGGTATTCAGAGGGCCGTTCAGGAAAAATTAAACATGGTTCTGTGGTTCCCGCATCTGCCCCTATATCATGCAAAAGACCGTTTTCAAAAAGCTCGTCACGCCCTGAAAGACCTTCCTGGTAAGTTCTAGTGACCTAACCTGTGGAGAGAGTGAAAATAAGGCGTTGTGCATTTTTTTATCAACACAAAAACCTAGTGGGGTTGAATGAAAATGACGAAAAAATCGATGAAAAACTAAACTAAAGCACATTAAGAGGGCTTACGAGGCCATGGCATGGGAATAAGGTCTACTATAGCTTTAGACATCTTCAAAGTGAATTAAGTTTAAAGTAAATGCTCACCTGCAGTAGTGGTAGCTGTGGTGATACACGTCCAAACTACGCCTAGCACGGCAGACAAGACAATGCCTTGTATTATTCGCTCCAGGACCGATGACATGTGAGTACTTTATAGCAAAGTACGAACTTGTCGGTAAATTGGTTTGAGATACCGTAACTCTGAAAACTACCTTACAGTATGAAGCATGAACCGATCAGCAGCTTCTCAATGCGATTCATCCACAGGTTATGAACTCGAGTGGCACGAAAGCAATCGAATGGTAAAGGAGAGCAACCGGCGGTAAACAGCTCCTTATTTGGATGTGCCACGCATTCTACTTACTTTGAGGGTCGCAGGGGCATTTGAATGCGGCCCAGGCTTTGGCTTGTGGGGTAGCAAATGTATGAGCCAGTGTGTTATCCTCTTAAAGAAGCATTCAAGCTTGAAAGGCTTCCTCGACCCGAGCTAGGCTTAATCCAAGTGTCCTGCGGGTAAGTTGTTCTGTTCGTTTTCTAGTTATCTGCGAACTCGACGGAGTCCCTATTGAGGTGGAACCATTCACCCCAATCACATTTTGTTATTCAAAGTAAGTCTTGGCGGCGGGCGAATATCAGGTTGGTGGAAAGGCCAGTGAGTGAGCTCAGCTTAATACTCTATAAGTAGCTCAGCCACAGGGTATTTTTCCTGTAATTTTCTGTGAGTCACACATTATTTTGGAGGTTATTTTGAAGATTCTAGGTGTGTAAATGCTATAGCCACCAAGAGCAAATTTGATTACTTATCAAGTCACAGTCCCCTACCTTCACTTCTTTCATAAAGTTTTCCACACAATCATCTGCACAAACTGCCACCCACGTCCCTTTACTTCCACCCAATTTTTCCTCCACTTTTCACCTCCACCAACCCAAAATAAGGCCTCCCCCCTTCGGAAATTTCAATACGACTCCCCTCGTTGAGAACTGCGCAACGCAGGGTTAAAGGATAAAGCATTTGCCGTTGATCAATAGCTTTTTGGAATGAAGGCGCACATTCTACTTCCACTTGTTATTCAGTAGCGTTTGAAGGCGATGTGGCCTATACAACGACCTGAGGGCCAGCCGATTACAAGTCAGTGTTTTATCCTCCCAGACAAGTCTGGTACCAATTAACCGACCCCGGAGGGATGGAAGGCTTGGTTGGCCCGGGCGACTCACGACCCAGGATTTGATCCCGGACCGCTCGCGTGGTAAGCGTGCCACTTGTCACTGCACCACTTCCGCCAATCAAAAGTATCTGGAGTTTTAAAAAATACTGCCCAGAAATCTCGATTCACTACTGAACGGAATGAGCGGCGACATTTTCCAAGCTCGAGTTCGTGGTAAAGTCTTGGCCGATCCACCCAGCCAATCAAGCCTTCTATCCTTTCATGGTTAAACAACTGATACCAAACTTGCCCGGTAGGATAACCACTGGTTTGTATGTCGTCTACATCCCGCAATTCATTGGCATAGGCCAACCTGCACATTCAATTTCGCCTACATTTCTGAGAGGAATGTGGAAAGCGGGCACATTTCGAAAAGAATCGGGTCTCTCTGAAAGCTTTATCCTTTATCCAGTGGAACGAAATGGATATGTATGCGAAAAGAATTGCTATCATCCAAATGTTCTGGAATCTAAAATTGGATGTAATGTGCCTAGACAAGTGTAAAAGTGGAACGGCTGTTGAAGGGATCGTTCACAGAAAAATCATGATTCTACCTCACCCATAAATCACTGGCTTGAGACCCATCATTCACGATAAGAACGAAAAGAACAAAAAATTTGTTTTGGTAAACAATTCGAAAAACCGGAAGGCTGCTACGCGTTCAAATTCCCGCCGGACATCTGTCACAAATGCTGGCGGCGGGAACGCTTCCACTTGGTTCGGAGTGCTGTCACTAGAAACTCTGACCTTTTGACTTATTGCACTAACATCTCACACTTCTACTGCATCCTATTCTATCGATCGTTTTGTCTCTCCCTCAAATTCAAACGCTTTAACCCGATTTTTCAATGCGTCGCCTGATACGTGGCCGCCCCAAGGCGCACTTCTTTCCATGCGTTCCCTTCTCTCCGCCCAACCTACCCCGACCGTCCCTAGAGGGTGGTTTTTTGTAGGTTGTAGGTTTGTTCCTATTCTCGAACTAAACCATCTTGCGTGAAACTTTGTACGTTGCTGGTGATCACAGCTGACATTGCAGTTGTGTGCACTGTTTTTTCTTTCAGACTTGCAGATCTTTTTCAACTAGTTCTGAAAATTGGGTCCGCTACCAAAAACCAAGGAATATGCTGCATAAACCGTTCGAACGAGAAGTTTCGTCGAATAAGCCATATTTCGAAAGCGATATTCCTAATGTCAGCTCTGTTGTCCGGAAGAAGTTCTAGAGCCAATGAAAAAAGTGACAAAAATTTATTTCGGGCACGACACTGCTGGTCGAACGCGCTCTCATGGTATCACTTCCTTCCGATGCAAACCGTATTAAAATTGGATTTACTAACGAGAAGCTCATCAAAATGACGTAACAACTCATATCATTGAATTCGAGAATTTTGAGATCAGGAAATTAAAAAATGCAAGGGAGGCCGATAATAACGAAACGAACGGCGTTCGTCACGGGATGATCTCGAAAGGGATATTGTATGAACTTTCTCCTGACACCCTGATGAAACAGATCGTTCATCAAATTGTGAAACAACAGGTCGAAATGACGCCAAAAATCGTTCAATCACGATCGGATCCATAACGAGAAACTATCGCCCATCATGGTTCACACTTTCGGAGAGAGAATGCGGTGGAATCTGTGCGGTCTTATTTCCGTCTTGATTATCGGGTTTTGAACGTTAATGGATCAATATTGGCTGATAATTTATTCGGAAAGGCCGCGGATTAGGCCGTGCATCAACTTCGATGATGTTTATTGCTTCACCAATAGAGTAATCTCAAAGCATTAGATAAGATGAAGATACTCACGGGTGGGATGTTCCAACCTAGCCAGGGATGGGCTCACTAGGGCTTGCTTAGCCTTTGCCTCCTCTCCGGGAGCGTTACTGAGACTGACAAAGTAATAATTCTATCCTAAGGAGGCCTCAGGATATCTTTTAAATATATTTACCATTGGGATTAGGGATTGTTCGAAGACTTGAGAGGGGGTGGGGACGAGTCAACTTCTTGGTTGTACAATACATTAACTCGCTTCCCCCCCCCCCCAAGTCATTGAGTGGGCATAATCCCATTCACCCATTCAAAGTTGCCGCTGCGATTCCGAATAGAAGCAAAGTATTCCCAGGATATGGATTCTGGTAAAACTGGATGACCATAGTGAGCTACTGTGACATTTTTGCTCGCAGGGTGAATATCGGTCGAGGATTCCTCAACGGCACGTCGAGGATTTTCGCCTGATCAGTTACGCTCTCCCGCGCGGACATTCACACTCGCCATGCGCGAGCCGTCTGTGCTCTCCGCGCGTACGTTCACTCTCGGCACTACTCTCGCACAGTACAGAGCCATGGTCGAGGAATTCCTCGACCGTTATTCACCCTGCTGCTCGCCCACCTGCTACGAAGCGTTTGAAAACCACTGAATGAGTTCTCACCAGAATTTTGCTCCATTTCAAAAAATTATATTTTATTATGTTCATATATTACATTATTATATCTGGCTATCCGGGGACATCTATTTGTTAATAGCCGATCCGATGACGTAGCCTTTGTCCGCACCAGTTGAACCATCTTGAGCACATGAGACCTAAAAATTGTTCTATAAGTTTTTGTTGATCAGTACTTTACGATGTACCCTCTATTTCGGAAAACGAGAAGAGAATCGAGTGCAGACCACACACCACAAGTGACGACGGCCAAGAAAAAGTGGCTTTTTCTTTTTTTTTCTTGGCCGTCGTCACTTGTGGTGTGTGGTCTGCACTCGACGCTCTTCTCGTTTTCCGAAATTGGGAATATGTGAAATCGTACCGAATGTAATCGGAATGAACTGGTCCGTTCCAGTGCTGCTCACTCGTGCCGTCCACACGCCGTTCCTACAGAACACCTGAAAACGAACTGCCATTACCGTACACCGTGGAGAGTTCAGAAGATGGGAAGATGATAAAGTCCCGTGGTCGGGCCGTTGTTGGCCAAGAGTACTCACAGTGGCTGCTAACGTGGTTCCGGTGTTGGTGTAAGTACGAACGACACCTCCAGCCGCGTTGAAGACTTCAATTTGCATACGAGCCGGCTGAAAGAAGACTAATAAGAAATTGAATTTGACCGCTCAGTTGAACCAAGAACTTGGTCCTTGAAAATTAGTAATATGTAATAGATACCCAACTGTGGTTCGAGAAAAGCTCCAGATTGAGCTATGTGCGATTCTTGCAAGCGAATATGAAAGTATTGCGTGCGAGCTGGGCCGGCAGCAGAGAAAAGGAAAAGAAGCCTGAAAACGCTCAGTTTGGGCTTACTCACCTTCGTAATGCGGCTGTGCTAAGGCAATGAGAGACTGAGCGCGGAGAGGAGAGTATGAGGCGAGAGAGCGCAACAGATGAGAGGGCGCCAGACAACAGCTTGAAAACATTGCAGCTGCTGCAGCTAACTTTGCAAGGCCTTGCGCCCTTGTCGGACGATTTTCATGCACGGAAGTGCCTCATCTGTGTTTGTCCTCTGGGAGTCTATCCTGCACACCGAAGGGTACATTTTGAACAGCTTCTGCCTGGGTTGTGCCTTTAAGTAGGATTTATTTATTTATTTATTTTTATTTATTATTTATTAGTACGCTATGTGAGACAGCGTGAGAGAAAAAATGAACAATCATAGCGGAAAAGTGGTATAAGAATCCCCTAGAAACGGAACAACTAGACCCGAAGGTGCTTACACATATGCATGTGAGGATTTACTTTGCCTGGCAATTCCGTTTTGAAGGATACTCAAAGGCAGCTTTTACGATCAAGTGGGAGCGCATCGGCGGAACATATGCACCACACGAATCAGTTACTCGGCTGCCAGGGAAAGCGAGGTGTAGCGCTTTCACGACGCAAGGTTCGCTGGTTGCTGAGCAGGACTTCGAAAGCACTCCGCCCCCAAAAGCGATCCGCCCACTGGTTTAGTTGGTGATTTGGACGAGCTGCGTTGCCAGCAGCGGCACAACTGAAGCAACTCGACTGTAGCATGGATTGGCATGCTGTCACCAAACGCGTTGCGCTGAACTCGTTCAGTCGGGGCATGGGCCGCTTTCTGAGGCTGGTTACCTGTTCACGGCGTGAAAAACTCGACGGCCAAAGAGGGTCCCGTATTGGCCTTTTTTTTGACGCGACTTCTCGCACTTTTTCGCTACTGGCCACCACGAGCACACCAGACTCCTCAGTAAACGCTTTCTGACATCTATCGTATCACTACGCTTTAAAGCCTTGGATGAAATGTGATTGTAGTGATAACAAATACGAACATGATCTGCTTCTAGGTGAAAAAATCTCCCCTTATGATGGTTTTAGGCCTACTAACTTGATTTTAGATAATTTGAATTCTTCACCCCTGGTTGGGCTTCAGCGAAACAGATGTAGAACCCTTTAGAATTCAATTTTTTTTTGCAGATTTTTCGGTTTCGGTTTCCTTATATATAGCCATTTTGTGTTCTTCAGTAGTTTCTGCCTGTACCGTTGTTATAGTTTATATTAACTATGTTAAAGTTGTATTCCTTGTAATTGTTCAGGTGGATGGGTGACACTTCTGGTTTTGCTATCAGTGAAGTTTTGCGGGTTCGTAGTGAATAAATGAAACTTCTTCCACCGTTACAAGTTTAGGAATATCAGCAACTATGCGGAATTCAGGTGGGGATCTTCTGCAGAAGTTTTCCTCCTGAATCGGAGAATGGTGGCCGTTACCTATGTTACCCCGTTGCCCTACCGTCGCTGCTGGGTTTTTGAACAGATTATCAAGTCATTTGGCTCGCCACTGCAGTGAAAATTGAAAACAGATCACCTTATTTTGACCATCGTCTTCAATATTTTTGGCCCCAGAGCTCTAATCATTATGCTCGAGTTGAAAGTGCTCTGAAAGACGAAAGCAAGAGAAATCTCTGTGATCTTCGAAATTAAGGCCATAAGCTTCAAAAAGGTCGTATGTGGAACGATGACGAGGCAAGGCAGTCAAAAAAGACAATCCCGAGGCTTGCCTTCAAAATGATACGTGAACTGAAAAAATGAACGCACATTCGTGTCTGGAGCCGCATCACAGAATATGATGCCATCGACGGGACATGTGGATGATAATCGTCTCAAGATTGAGCACTGTTCAAATGTGTCAGACGATGGATTCCGTTTCGGCAGGTCGATTGAGACAACATCGCGCAACATGCTGAAAAGAGAATAATATGATATGATAGAATGAGTTGAGCACCTTTGTAAACCCCCACTCTTAAAAATAGGATCGATCAGGAGCTATTTGCGTGCTTAGAACTGGATGAGAGTAATGACTTGCTACCAGCATTTTTTTGAAAGTTTTCTAAAGTTTCATTTTCAGTGAGGACCTTCCCTTTTCATAAAGACGGGGAGGAGATTGGAACCAGAAGAAACTGGGAATTCACTGGAAAAAATTTGATTACTGGATATTGACAGAGGCTTTTAGAGGCTCCGAAAATCTACCAGCTGCCTCTGGATTTGTACCTTACTTGATAAATAGCTCCACTGCCGAAGAAAGGGACTTGGAAGCGTCAACTCAATAACAGCTGGAATTTGTTTGATTCCGCTCAAAGAAGGAGTTTGCTCAACCTACAAGCTTGCTTGTACTATTGATTGATTATTTTTGCTGAAGTAATTTGAAAGGAACTTCGAAGTAAATGCCGGCAACGACCGAACAAATGGTGTAGATCCATCGTACACCCCCAAAAACAGTCAAAGCTTTATTGGTGAAGAGCGAAGCCGGGTGTTATCCAGAAAGGGGCAAGATCGGTGCGACAAGTAAGTAGCTACTTACAGAAGTTCCAATTCTGGAAGAGAACGAATCACTGGAGGGTAAGAGTCGTTCCGCTCCAGCTTTCGCACCCACCCCAGAGCTCTCTTCCATGCAAAAAATTGGAACAGCTTATAGCGAAGGGTGCCTCCTACAGCTCAGTTATCGTTAAGGTGAGGTTTTCCTACACCACTAATGATTTTCCTAATCCTTAAAACTTGTTTCGTGTAATTTGGAAGGTAATTCGAATGACTGTGTCTCACATATATGCTCGGCCTTCTTTACAGGCTCCGACGAAGGCGATTTTGCCAAAAAGTCAGTCAATAAAATTCTGTGCCAATCTCGGAAGCTTAAGAAACAACAAGCTTAAAAAATTGGATTACTTTAGGTTATATGAACCGCTCACACCACATGCCCCCTCTTACTGGATAGGACTCAGTACAACAAAATTTCTTCCAGATTGAAATATTAGCAGGGAACAGTTGACTTACGAGTAGTTGTCGTAGTGATAGTCTGAGTAGGCACACAAGCTTGGCAAAAGGCCAGAAGTGTCAGAAGCACGACGACGGTGAGCATAGCGAATCCGAGAGGAAGACAGCTCACTGATGGATCCTTCTTGTGGCAAGTGATAACCGAAATGAACACCAGCAGCTACGTCGGTTCGTCCGGAAGGCGGAGCGCATTAGTTTATAAGCGGATGAAAATTCCACGCGTTAGATATGCCTGATCTCTCTCGTTTCTCGGAAACGAAACAATAGCGCTCCGACGACGACAAGCGGCGCTTTAACCTTTCACCGGATATATGTCTGATAGAGAAGGCCATCCCGGGAATTTATAGGAGCTGGCGAAAATTTATAGCTTTTAGGTGACCTTAATTCTTCCTTACAGATAATACCAATGGAAGCGGTCCCTTTGAATTCTGCACAATATTCATGAAATTTCTTGGGACTTAGAGTTCA